TGTGTGTGTGTGTGTGTGTGTGTGTGTGTGTGTGTGTGTGTGTGTGTAAGGTTTCTGTCACATCAGCTGTGAATGTACCTGCAAATTTCACCACATGGATTCTGAGTGTGAATTTACCTAGTATCACTGGTGGTGGGGAGAGAGCCCTGACTGTTTTCGCGGCTGTTTTCACAAGCCGTTGGGTTCAGCTTTTGTCAGAACTTAAGATTCACCTTTAGGGTCACAAAGGAAATGGGCACTTTTCTATCTTATCACGAGTATGGTCAGAATAACATAGATGCCAGCCTGAGTCTCTAAAATGAATCAGTGCGGTGTGAGTGCATTTTGCTCTTTCCTGTGAGGCCTTCTCTTTCCAAAGGAAGGGCTTTCCAGCCAATGGTAAAAGAATGCAGAGAAAGACCAACAGCTTGTATATTGTGGCTTCTGGTGCCACGACCCCCTCCCTGCCAAGGCACAGCTGGCTCATGGGGCATCTTGCTGTGACTCTGACCACATGGCTCTAGTTTGGCTCACCATTTGACTGTGAATACACTTTCCCCTAAACCCTCCCTGCTAGGACAGTCTCTCTACAGACTGGATCACTGTTGTTCTGGAGACCTCACATGTACAGGTCCTTTCCACGTCACACATCCCAAGATCTGCTGAACAGGCAGGGCCCTCTTTCTCTTCTTAACTTTCTCCTAAGGATACTGAGGAGCTCCTTGCAGTCACCATCCAAGGAAAGAAGTTGTGCTTCCCCCCAACCCCAGGCCGCTGTTCATGAGGGAGGAACATGGAAGAGCCAACTCAGACCTTCCTCAGAAATCCCTTCCTCTTTTCAGTTCACATCTGCTTTGCCAAGTCCAGCAGAGAAGCTCCTGCAGGTCCCAATATATGTCTTACAACATCGGGGCTCCCTCCCCACCAATCGTTTGTTAGAAAGGGGTTTTATGATACAAATTTGATAATCTCCCACGCACACTGGCACTGTTCTAACTGAAGTTGTAAGCCCATAAAATTCAAGCCCTTTGTCTTCCTGAAGGCCACAAGGTTTTAAAAGATACCATTGTCCCGCCTAACACCCACTGTATTGTTTCCGGAGACTGATTAAACAGAGTTCTGAATTGAAACAGTGCGGATTTTGTCTAGGTCCTTTTTAGGCCTGACAATGCCTTTTTCAGTATCTAACACAAAAGGAGGTTTAAGGATGGAGATTCTTCCAAGATAGCCACATCCATATGGAAGACAAGGTGGCAGGCAGCTGAGACCCCAAGCACCGGCCACCCTCCCCCATCCCAGGTGACAGCCTTGCCTGTTACTCTTCTTCCTCCTTGGGTAAGAAAGCTAGGACCCCTGTCTAGCCCAATGGCTGTTCTTCAGACCTCATCAGGGGCCTTCTGCCTGTTTCTGGACCTGCTGGGCACCCCTCCTCCTGGGGTGGGTCCCCAGAAATAAGGTCCGGGTCTTCCTGCACTGGTGGTCCTCCTTCCCTACATGCTCAGGCAAAGAGCAGGTGCAAACCGAGGCCTGGAATGGGAAGGTGATCCCTTCACCTTCGCTCTGGGAACAGGGCTCTCAGTAGCTGGTCGCCCCCCAACACAGCCTTACCTAATCTCCAAGGTAGTCCTCTTTCCTTAGGGTTGGCTGGAAGTAGTACCCAGCCCCAGCCACTCCTGTGACCTTTTCATTTCTTCACTACCCTCCCCATCCTGTCACTGCCAGGTACTGCTTGGTGGAGTAGGCAGAAAAATGACAGGAGGTTAACTGTAGGTCCCAAGTTCCTTGGTTCCCAGCTCCTCTGTCCCCAAGCTTTAGCAACAGCCTTGAGCTCAGGACCGTGTTTGCCAGGCAGTATTCACTTTTAGCGTTTGAACCAGAGCCTAAAGAAGCACCAGCTTCACTCCGCAGAGAGGCCACCCAGATTCGCCTCAGTCGCCTCCCTCAGCTCCCTTTCCTTCCCAAAGCTTTGCCGGGACTTCATTCCGATCTACCACCTAACCAACGGGTGGTGAGCCTCAGCGTAAACGGCCAGGAGTCCACCACGGGTTCCCCAGCTCGGTCACAGGAAACCAGTGCCCATTCCTTTAGTGGCGAGAGCGCCAGGAACCCAACCCCCAGCATTATATTCTAGCACCACAAATCAAGGCGAAGAACACTCTATTTCTTTTTTTAAAAAATAAGTCGCTTCATACAGCTCGCTATTAAAAAAATATACAAATAAGGCTCAAGAAATAAAATCTAGCTCTGGGATCTGCGGTGGGGGAACAACCGGGAGGGAGTCTTGGAGAGAGTCCCCTGCGCGAGTCTTTGCAAATGCTGGTTAGGGAAAGCCAGGGGCGCAGGGCGCAGGGCGCAGGGCGCAGGAAGGACTCCTGAGAGTCCCGAGAGGACCGCCTGCTCGCTCCGGGCCCGCGGCAGGGCCCCAATCCAGGCTGGCTCCGGGCTCCCGGCGGCAGCCTCACCAGTTCCAGGAGACCAGAGTGGGGGGCGCTAAGTGCTGGCAGGCAGGGAAGAGCCCCAGCGTCGAGCCCGGCCCGAAGGCGGCGTAGCTGGGCAGCAGGCACGAGGTGGCCAGGCGTCCGCCGCGCTTGTCCTGGGCCAGCCCAGCCGTCCCCTCACCCCTGCTCGGCGGCCCGTCGGGCATCAGCACGGGCACCACCACGCGGCTCAGCAGGCCGGGAGCTGCGAGCGGATCAGCTGGCGCCGCCACGTCGGACGACTCGGCGACCCCCGGCGCCCGGCCGCGCTTCAGCTTGTAGCGATGGTTCTGGAACCAGATCTTGACCTGCGTGGGCGTGAGGCGCAGCAGCCGAGCCAGCTGCTCGCGCTCCGGCGCCGACAGGTAGCGCTGCTGCCGGAAACGCCGCTCCAGCTCCAGGGTCTGCGCCTTGGAGAACAGCACCCGCCGCTTCCTCCTCCTCTCCGCGTCGGAGCCCGGGGACGCGGGCCCTGGGGAAGGCAGCCGCGACGAGTCCGCGGGGCTGCTCTCCAGGCCGCCCTCGTCGGAGGCTAGGAACCACAGAGCAGAGCCTGGTGAGGGGTCGGCCTCTGGGGGGGGGGGGGGGGGGGGGGGGCTGGGCCTGCCTTCCACCCGCCCCCAGCCCCATCCCCCGGCTCTGGGCTTTGAGAGCAACGTCCTTTGCTAGGCTCACGTCTGGATACCTGTCCCCTGCCCTCTAGGACCCCATCCGTCCTGCGAACAGTCATCACCAGGACCGAGATGCTGTCCCGGAAGCTGAGCTGGCAGACCAGATGCCCCGCAAGGTGGGTCACCGACATAGGCCACCTCTATTCTGACCGTTTCCAAAGCCCTGGGATACGGGAAGGAGGTATTTTAAACCCTCAAATACTCCGACCCTTAGGGAGCTCAAGACGCCGAAGGCTCCTAACGTCCGCGGCAGTCGGTGTGCAGGGATCTGTCCGCTCTCAGCAAGCGCGGACCCGGACGCCCACCCGGGGAGTGAGGACCGCAGGGCTTCGCGCTTGCTAAAGCCGGGGAAGCCTGACTCTGGGTTAGGGCCTCCACGCCCTGGCCCCGAACCCCCCGGGGGCTCCCCTCTCCCCCCTCCGCCCCGCAGCGGTCCGGGCTCACTCACAGGGGTAGCGGCTGCGCTCCGGCTCCAGCCAGGCGGTGGGCCGAGGCGCACGGCTCGGCGGCTCGCTCCGCCCCCGGGGCTGCGCGTCCTGCTCAGGTAAGTTCAGTAGGCTGCGCACCGTGAAGCCCAGGCGTCCCGGGGTGGCCATGGCCGCGGAGGGGACGGAGAGGGGGACGGGGCAGGCTGGGAAGCCGAGGGTGGCTGCCGACCCCGCTCCTAAGGGTGGGAACGGGAGGCTCTCGCCATGCGCTGGCTTCAGGGGTGCCGGCGCCTTGGCGGAGGAACCCCGACTTATATAAACAGCCCCCCACCCCCCGCCACTCAGTGGGCTGTGAAAGCCGAGGTCCTGGTGTCTAGGGCGTTAAGTACCCGAATGAGTGCTGGAGGAGCCGGGGCAAGTCCGGAAAGTGCCCTGTCCTTTCCCGCCCCGCCCCGCCCGGCCCCCGCCCCTTTGCACCGTCACCTCCCAGAGGTCGCAGGAAGCAGCCCTCGGCATTAGCGATTGTCTGATCAGACCGGAGTGGGGACAGATAATGGGGATTGTTGGCAGTGAATAACATCTTGGGTGGCGAACAGTGACCACGGTCCTCCCAAACGAGCCCCAACTTCCTCCTCCTCTCGGGCTGCTGTGGGGCCTGGGTGGGGTGGTGGGGCTGGGAAGAAGGGTGGGGCGGCTTAGCCCCTGTTTGTTTTAATCCGGAGCTTGTTTTCTGGAATGGTGATTTCTCCTGATTGTTTGGAAAATGATTTACAACACTGTGTGGAACTGGCGCGCTTGCTCCCCTTCCCCACCCCTTTCCCCGACCGCTGTAGCACCTCTTGGAGGGCAGAGGGTGGCCCGGTCTTTCTGGCTGTCCGGGTTTGGCACAGGTTTTGCAGGAGCCTCCTCACAACCCCCCCCCCCCCCACAGTCTGAAAGGGTTGGGAGAGGGTGGCGGAGCCCGGGGCCCGTGCCTGTCTCTCCAAGGCCGACTAAACGGAGGCAGCAAACACCCAGGTTCCGAAACGTCCATCCCTTCCTGTCCTCTGTGGATCCTGAGTCTGGGCCTTTGTGGCCGAGCTCCTGCGTTCGAGGACCACGGCAGCGTTTTCTCGGGCGGCCTACCAAAGCGTTCAGTCTTCCTTGGTATCACTCTGCCGTTACTCTGGGTTACTCTGGCGTCCTCCCTGCCCTTCAGCCCCCCAAGTCAGTACCGGTTTCCGAGCTAGCAGCAGAGGAGGGGGCAATCTGTGGGGCCCGCTGCTGGCGGTGAAGCAGACCACAGCCCAGGTGCCCGGCCTGGCTTCAGAATGGGCGGATAGGCAGAATTAGCACCAGGCTTGCCCAAAACTCAGGAGCCGGGCAGGAGATTCCTCCCAGATCCTTTACTCCCCAAGGCCACACAGATGAACCGTCCTCACGGAAGGCTCCTGGAACAGGCGGGGTCCCGTAGAAGGGGGCGCGTTCTGTTGCCCCAGCCTTGCTCAGGCTTCAGTCTAGAGCCGCAGTGAGGTCTCTTTCCTTCCAGCTAGTGCTTAGCTATCTGCTTTCTAAATTTTAGGGATGAGAGCTGCGTTTGGGCTGCCGCACCCCAAAACCTGTCTCCGCTGGGGCTGAGTTCGAACCTGACAAAAACCTGGCGCCCTCGGCTCCACCCAGCCTGTCCGCCCTACCCAGCTGCGGTCCTACCAAGCGTGCCTGCGGTGCCTGGCTGCACCGCTCGCTGGGTGGTCGGGCGGAGGCTAGCCCACTACAGGCCAACTGCTAGGCTGCAAACAAAGGGGAAATGGAGCTGGGACGCCCGGACCTGTAGGAAGCATTTGTTCCAGCAAAGATTCTGCATTCGTTCAGTCAGGAATAATGCGTGATTGACGTCTGCTCACAATGCGCTTTAGCTCGCTGGGATAAATCGGACCTTGTCCGGTGTTGTCATGGTTTTCAATGGGATTGGGAGATCGATCGACTCTGCTGGCCGTCTTTCTGTGGCCCTGGCAATAGATTTATTAGTTATGTCTTTTTAAATAAGATTAAACTGAAATCACTGTGAGGACCTCTCTGCGATGAAGACCCAGGCAGGAGCCAGAGGTTGGCAGGAGACGGTAGGGTTCTAGGGAAGCCTTAGTATAGATTCCAAGACCCCCCCTGAACTTGGAGGCCAGGCCAGGTGAGACAGCTGAGGCCTGGAAACCCCTGGGCACCCTAGCTCTGCCTGTAGTCACTCTTGAGGTTCTCTCTCTCTCTCTCTGCCTCCTCCCTCAGCACCTTCTCCTCCTCCCTCCCAAGACTAGGAGATATGCTGATTTCTCAGACTCGCACTTTGAGAATCTCCTTCAGCTCAAACTCTCTCTGTCCCATCTATATTAGGATGTGCTCTGAGGAGACTCTGATTCCACCCTGTACAGGACATTCTAGGAGTGGACGTGTCAGCCTTTCAGTTTGTGAAGGACGCTCTAGAGTACTAGTGCAGGGCATTTAATAATTTTGGGAAGAGCCAAGTTAGGGAAAGGACAAGAGTCTTCCTTGGAAGGACTGACCTCTCTTAGCCTTTTAATCTATTTAACATCCTAAGACCACACTGATGTGTAGAAATAAGTAAATGACATGCTTCAGCTCTTAAGAGCTCTTCAGCATCAAATATTTGCTTTTACTCTTAGTATTTAGCACCCAAACAGAGATACATCCAGGGACAAACACCTGCACAGTTGTGTTCTGAGAGAGAACTTACTAATGACACTTCTGGCTTTGAATTCTTTGGCCTCAGAGCAGTGTTTCTGGGGTCTTGTGTGCAGGTGTTTGTCCTGGGAAATCCCACACCTCTTGGTCATGCAGAGCCCGGTAATCTCCCTGCTTAAACACATCCTTGAACACTCCCTTCTTCCCAGTTCAATTTTTGAAACTTTACGTCCATTCTTTTTCCCAGATGGGGCACTCGATGACAACCAAGGAGGTTGTTCCATGCAAACTAGGCCTTCTGAAAAAAAATGGAGAAGAGAGGGCAATCTTTTCAGGAAGGGGCTCTCTTCATCACCGTCTCTTCCATCTCAGAGACTTGAGAGTAAACTATTATTTGGATACTGGGCCAGTAGGAGAAGAGTGGAGACAGCCATCATTGTTTTGCATAGTAAAAATAGATTTCTATGTATCCCTCCTCACCCCCTGCACACAAAAATTCTTAGAATTATAAGTTACCATCTCCCTTATGGGGCACTCTTTCCAGGTTTTCAAATGTTGGTTGGTGTTCCGGTCTGCACTGCGGCACAGCTTGTGAGTATTGTTACTTAACCGTGAAGGTTTGTTCCCCTGCAGTTGGGTCTAGTGCATCCTAACTGGATTAAGTTTTAATTCTTGGGGTCTGGTATGGTGAGAGTGTTTAAGCCGTCCACATTAATCATCCTTTCATGCTTTGCCCAAAGATGTTCATCCCTGATGATGCTTACTGCCAATGGAAAGTAGGAAACCTTTAGGTGATTAACAGGTGATTAACAGGTGATTCTGGTGATGATAAGCATCAATGTGGACATGGGCTGGAGGTGTGGTTCAGTTACACTGATTGTCTTGGGTATTAAGGTCCTAAGCTCAATTTCTAGCCCTGAAAAGAAGAGAGAAGGAATGGCTAATCTATTGCTTGGCCATGTGCTCAGCCTGGTTCCAGTTCTTTCCTAGCCATGTTGATGACGTATGAACAGGTGACAAAAGGCAGTGGCCACCTATAGGCTGGGAGTTTGCTCCATCTTTGAAACTGGCATTAGATTTTACTACTTAACATCAAGTGACAAGATAAGATAGGCTCTATGTTAAGTCATATAAATTAAGGCTTTTCTATTGCTATTGTTTTAGGTCTGGGGGGAGAAACTGTTTCTTTTTTTTTCTCATGTTCATCTAGTAGATTAAGTAGACACTATGCATGAATGTATGTGTATATATGTCTATATATGTAAAATGGTTCTGTAAATTTAAAACTGTTTTAAATTAAATACTCCTGTACTCTACTTCCTAAAAAAACCAACAAGTAAAATTTTGATTTTTAAAACTGGTTTATTTTTATAACTATTTTGATCTTTTCATGCCTTCCAGTGGCATGAAAGTATTTGTTATGACCTGGTCAGAATCAAAATAATTACATAACGTAGAGAAGTAATATGCCAAATGTTATTTGTCTAGATCCAAAATTCTTATTTTTGTTTCATTTTTTTTTGTTAAAGGTACTTTGTTAAAGATATAAACAGAAGTGTATCTTTAACAAATATTTAAATAAATTCAGATGATTCAAATATTTAATTTTGACAGCACTAATAAGAATGTCACTTTAGGTTTTGAACATTTGAGAATGCTTCACTGTGTACTCACACTTGTAACTAGTCCTGAGTCAGGATAGATTATCTAGAAGAATTGGAGCTTAAGGAGAGCCTTGAAGACAAACAGGCTGTGGTAGTCCCAGAGTTGAAGAAGAAATTGGTTGGAGGATAAAGAGAACCTAAATAAAAAGGGGCCTCTCTAACACACAGTGTTAGGAAGAGTGGTGTATGTGTGTAAAAGGAGAGTAAGTCTTCACTGTAAACTCCAGGCACCGTCTGATCCAATGGGCTCTGAGGAGGAAAGCAGAAGATTCCCCATGACATTGCTCTTTTCTCCCTGAGTTTTTATGTTTCCAAAAATCAACTACATTAGAAAAACTTTAGCTTTCAAACTCTCTCTAGTTGTGCTACTTAGTTTACTTTTTAAAATTGTCCTTTGGAAAAATAATTTTCCTCATCCAAGGTAAGGTGAGAAAGTGTTCAAAAGGAACCTAAAATGACAGCCTGGAGAAATGTCCAGCAGCAAAATGAAAACAAAACAAAACAAAACAAAAATAACTCTCTATCTGTTTTCCTACAGCTCTGGGAATTTCTTGCCCAGCAAAGGTGGCTGCCTTTGTGTTCATGATTAAATGGGTGTTTACACTGAAGTCACACAGCACACAAAGGAAACAACACAAAATAAAAATGTCCTTCGTGTTCTGTTTTTCAATCATTTGTGTGAAGGAGGCTCTTGGCCTTTATCACTGTCAGTGAAAAGTCGCTCCTTGGAAGAGACATTCCACTTACCCTGCTTCTGTGCACGGGGAGCTTGCCATGGAAACTGCCTCCAGAGCTCACAGGCAAATACACAAATGACAAGGCTAAAGGCCAAGCATTTCAGGTTTAGCTTTATCAGTGGCAGGGATGAAGAAAGGTGTTTAGAACGCCTTGAGAAAATTATTGCTCTTGTTTGTCTTTCCTTGAACCCAAGAAATAAATAAATAAACAAAACACAACAAACAAATAAAAATTCC